TGAGGTCAAGAGCTCAAGTGTTATCTGTGCTTCTAATCAGAATTTTATGGATGGTAGAGGTGGGGTGGGGTGATCACATTTTCAATGCTTAAAAATTATTTTCAAAAATTCTCAATAAATAATGTAAACCGGCACAATTACATCCAAATGTCAAAGTCCAATCTTTGATCCCAGCAAAATAATTTAGTCTCACAGCCCATGTAACTCAAAGGAAGGCTAACGCTATTTTTCACTTACAAAGAATTTGAAGAGCAGTGTTGTCGGTGAGTTCTCTCCTTCCTGTGCGGTTGTGTAACAGAGTAAATTAACCACACACAGTGAAAATGCAACATTCAATGGAGAAACAACGCAACATTCAATGGAGCCCAGGCAATGTGCAGATTTAACCAATGGCTCTGGCAGCCACTCAGTCTGGAAAACCGCTGCGCCCTGTTGGGTGCGCCCTGCTGGGTGTGGGTCCCTCAGGACCAAGGCCAGGTCCAGAACCTTACCCCATGTCCCTCTCAGGGGAGGCCACGCCACGAGCTCTGCCAGGCTGCAGGATACTCCCCTTGGCAGGGGCCAAGGTGACAGTCACTGCTCCCAAATGTGGGATCTTGCTAATGAAAGTAGCAAGAGAAGACCAAGAGCACTAGCCCCTTGCTTTGCCAGGAGCACAACCCATACTCCACTCTGGCTGCCAGTGTAAACTTCACACTCACCCTGCACTGGCTTCTGCTTCCCGCTCCATTTCCCTGGAGCAGGGCGGCTGCCCTTCCTATCGTCGACCTTACTGCAGCTGAAAGAGATGGATGCCTTCCTAACCATGCTGAGGAGAAGGGGGCTTTCTGAGTCATCTGAGCACTCTGCAGTTTCTTCTCTCAATCACTCAGCCTGAAGCTGACTTGGCAATACCACCTTTGTCTTCATATGAGGATAACAACACAGAGGGCCAGAAGGATGGACCCTAAGCAAAGGAGCAGCCACTGAGCCCACGAGCCCGTGACAAAAGCCATCTCCAGAAGGGCAAAGTACAGGGCGTGGCTCTCATCTTTGGCACAGTCCTGCACAGCCTCAGACTGTTCCTAAGCCACCCTGAGCCCTGATCTCCCCCTTCCTCAGAGCTTCTGTGAGCAAGGATTCAATTAACTGCAACCTCCAGCTCCTGGGATGCCTGGCACTAAAATTATGTGTGAACTATAGGCAAGGCACTGGTGGTTCAGTGGTAGAACTTTCCCCTTTCATGCAGGAGACTCAGGCTCGGTTCCCAGCCAGTACACCTCACACACAGCCAGTGGAGGCTTGCGTGTTGTTATGACAATGAACAGGTTTCAGCAGAGCTTCCAGACTAACACAGACTGGAAAGAAAGGCCTGGTGATCTACTTCTGAAAATCAACCAAAGAAAACCCCGTGGATCACAATGGCCTGATCTGCAAGTGATCACGGGGATGCCACAGGGTCGGGCAGTTTCTTTCTGTTGTGCAGGGCTCACCATGAGTCTGGGGCAGACTCAACAGCACCGCCCAACAATGCAACATGATCCACAGACCCTGTGGAATCCTGCCTCTCCCTGCAAATGAGGATGCTACAGTGGGGGCAAGTGAAATCAGTAAATAAACCTTACCCTCAACTAGTCATGACTAGTGACTTCTGATGACTGTCAAATTAAACTGATTTGCTTTTCCTAATTTCTTATCCATCCACCTAGCAGGAGGGAGGCAGGATGACATTCCCACACCTCTCATGGAAACATCCTACCAGGCTTCTGAGCGTCTGGAGGCTGCTCTCCTATGAGGAATAAAGTTACAGACCCAAGATAACGCTTTTCAAACACTCACATTCAGTCATTCCCTCCCTAGAAAGTACAATAGCGCTGCCACATTTGATACACTGTTACTGAGTCTGTCCACTGGACACAGAAGAGCAGAAATCTGCCCACTTGTACTGTTAATAGTGACAATATTGACTCTTACCACTTACTGAAGACTTATCATGTGCCAGTCACGGGTGCTGCCCTCTGGACAATTCAGTACGATTATCGCCAATTACAGGAGTCTTGGTATTGCAATGGGTAAGCACTTACCTGCTAATTGAAAGGTTGGCAGTTTGAACCCACCAGTGGCTCTATGGGAGAAAGACGAGGCAGTCTGCTTTCACAAAGATTTATAGCCTTGAAAACCCTATGGAGCAGTTCTACTCTGTCCGACAGGGTTTCTGTGAGTCATAACTGACTCAATGGCAATGGATTTGGTTTTTTGCATCATTTATAGATGAGAAAAACAGGGACAAAAAGGGTGAAGCATTGCCCAAGTTCAGGAAGTGAAGCAAGTCTCTGAACTAAGGCAGAATGACTCTCAATCAGCAGGCATGCCACACTTTTTCTTAAAAATAATTCTTTCAGATCAATACTATCACCATTTGTAAAATGACTGCTGTTCATTGCATTTGCTGAGGTACACATAGCTCATGAATTGTAATTCACCCCTGCAGTGTAGTAAATTACAAAGTATGGCTTTTGTAGCCATAGTCTTTGTAACTCCCACTTGGCCATGAGCAATTGTGAAGCTGCTTGTTAAAGTCAGCCACCTGGAGCAGCACAAAATAATCTCCTGGGAAGTCTGCTCTCTCTCAGGTGTGTAGAATTTTGATGTTGGGATTGGCTAGTTTTGCCACTCTGCCAGGCTTAAAATGAGCTCTCCTAGAGGCAGAAAGGAATCTCTCTGACTACCAGCTGAGAGATGGCAGCAGTGGAACAAAGAGGCACAAGACAGAGCAGTAGGCTTACCTGGATCACAGGGGCAGAGACCAGGCCAAGAGGCCAAATGCCAGAGAGGCATGTCAAAAGGCACAGCAGAGGGGAGGCTGTCCTGACTGAAGAACTGTATTCTGTATATGACCACCATGATAACATTGGGAAATGAGAGGACACCAAACTGTGCACATAAGAGATATACGACAGATGCTAAAACCAACCAATGTGTCCACAATACCACATTGCCATTAACACCAAACACTAGGCTGTACAGATAAACACAAACACCTGAGATGATCAGATAGGGGTCAGTGAATAGAGGTATACTCTAGACCAAAGATAGACTCAGTGAGGCTAATCTTGCACAGACACCAGTGATACAAAATACCTGCAGTCCTTACAGCAACAATAGAAGACAGACACAGATTAATCCCTCACAGACATCATGACACTATGGGAGAGAGACCCAATAGATCTACTACCTCAGGACCATAGTACTGGGGTACACCAGACTCAATTGGCACAACAAAATACATAAAAGCATTGCTCCACATCCTACATTGGTGAGTAGTGACTGGGGTCTTAAAAGCTTTCAAGCAGCCATCTAAGATGCAGCTAATGGTCTCCTAGCGTTGGGAAGTGAAAAAGAATGCAAAAAAAAAAAAAGGCATTTAGAAGCAATCAGCCAGAGGACACAATGGCCCTCGAGACCAGAAGAGCTGGATGGTGCCCGGCTACCAATGCCAAGCCACTCAGGAAAGGATCAAATCTGGAGATCCTGGATAGAGTGGGAGGGAAAACATGGAACAAAATCCAAAAACTCAACAATGACCAGAATTACTGGTCAGATGAAATCTGGTGAGACTCCCAATACTATGGCCCTGAAATACATTCAGCACCTGGAATAAAACTCACCCCCAGGGGTGGGCTCTCAGCCCAGTAGTTAACAAGATGTACACGCAGACCACTCAACCCAGGGTGCCACACCCACACACTCAATAGTAATACATCCCTTAGAGCAATAGACCATGAGACACCAGAGGACCAACATTCAAACTGAGGAAATGCAGGACAAACAGGAGTGCATAATTATGAGGGTCACAGGGGGAAGGTTGCAGGGTAGGGAAGGGAGGAGACTGGGTTAGGGTTGGACATGGTGAATGGGGAATGAAACTAAATGTACGCTTGACGTTGAATGTAAAACAAGCTCTTTAAAAAAAAAAATTTAAAAAAGAACTGTATCCTGAGTGTTTTCCTGAACTTGAATTATAGACTACTGCTTCCTTAATAAACCCCATAATCTCTGAGTTTTGTATGGCCACTGCAGTGAATTATCGAACCCATCAGAGAGGTGGTGGGTGCTACGGGAGGGAAGGCTGGTGTCAGTCTGTTAAGAGGCCTGGAGGGTAGCAGCATGTCTAGCCTCATAGGAACAGGCCTTGGGCTGCTGATGGTGATTCTGTCTTCCTCTTATGAAGTTAGAGGAGGTCAGAAGATGCCGCCTCCTTATCCCTTTAGCAACCTCCAACTCTAAGTAGGAATAAAATTCTCATCGTAAATATGTAAACTGGAGGAAGAACTATGGACCAGCACTGTCCAAGAGAACCTTGTGTGATGATGTAAATGTTCTATTATCTGTGCTGTCTACTGCAGTAGCCACTAGCCCAGTGGCTATTTGGCCATTTCTGCAGACATTTTGGGTTGTGTTACAAGCTGGGGGAGCGAGGGGAGGTTGCTACTGGCATCTCTAAATAGCCTACAAGGCACAGGATAGCCCACCACAGCACAGAGCTATCTAGCTCTAAATGTCAATAGTGCAAAGGTTGAGATCCCTGCATTCATCACATGGGGCCACTAACCGAACACCTCAGGTACAGCTACTAAGACTTGGGAATGAAGTTTTATATTTTATTTAACTGAAATGAATTGAAATTTTAATCACAAAAAAAAGAGAGGGAATAAAATTCACCAAAAAAAAAAAAAAGAGAAGAAATGTAAATAGCCACGTGTGTGTTGACAATGCAGCTATATAGAATAGTCAGAAATACAGAAGTAAGGGTCTCGTTTCCCCAGTATCTGGATTTAAAACAACTGAGCACCTTTAAGGAAAAGAGGTTCTCATATTTAGGATTGGGAAATGATGAGCATAGATACAAAAGCATAAAAGCAAAACACCCACAAAGCTTTAGGACACAGCCACCAAACAGGTCAAGGTCAGCACAAAATGAAATCACAGAATTCTCCCTTCTGTGGACACAGGCGACTCACTCTTGCAGGGTCTCCACTCCCTTTTCCTTGTATTGCAGTTCCTGCTTCATCTGGGTCAGCTCTCGTTTTAATCTGGAAAGCTAAAGACAAATTATACTTTTTTTTTTTTTCAAAAAACAAGCTGTGAAAAACTATTTCTATAGATATGCACATTGTCATTTCAGTTTGATTTACTTGCAATTCTCTGGATCACGTGTTTTCTCCACAGTCTTCCACTCACATGCACATAAAACAGTCAATCTAGAAGAAATGGCTTGCTTCTGTATGAAAATCCCGGATCACTACCAGGCTCCTACTCAAGTGGGGCACTCACAATTGGTTTCTTTTCCAAGGTATTGGTTTCTACATTACAGTTAGCAAACTCTGTAATACTTTTTCATCTTTACTTCTACTTACTACCCATGTTGTTGTTGTTGTTATGTGCCGTCGAGTCGGACCCAACTCACAGGGACCCCTCCTTGGGTTTCCGAGGCAGTATCACTACGGAAGTAGATTGTCCCATCTTCCTTCCGAGGAGCGGCTGGTGGGTTTGAACTGTCAGCCTTCTGGTTAGCAGTCAAGTGCCTTAGGCACTAAACTACCAGAGCTCCTTTACTACCCCATAGAGATCACATATTAAACATTGTTTCTAGAAGCATAGTCTCTGACCACCTGTAATTCAATCACCTAGGGCATTTATTCAAACTGACTCTGAAACACACCCGGGCCTACTTTAACTCAGTAGAGTGGGCCTGGGAACTTACACTTTTGAAAAGCTCCTCATGTGTTCTTCCTAGCTGCACTAAAATTTGAGAACCAGTGCATTAAAAGATACACCCTAGTTTGGGTATAAGACACTAGGGCACAAAGTGGTTTCATTTCCAGGTTGTCTTCTGTGCAAACTTTCCCCTTTCCCAGACACCTGGAATGGACCAAGGTGACACACAAAGAATTCAGGCAGAGCACCAGAACCCTTCTTGTCAAATGCCTTTGCTGGAACAATCTCTCAAGGAATGTCAACCACGGGAGAAATGTCAGATGTTAAGGCTGCTGAACGAAAGTCAAGGTTGGCATTCTGGTAATACAAGAATGTAGCCCTGTCTTAGGGCTATGGTCTTGTGAAACAATCCAGTCAATCAGCATAATATATTTCTTAAAGTTTATGTTCTACCTTCCAGTACGGTGAGTAGTGTCTGGGTCTTAAAGTTCACAAGAGGCAGTGTAAGATACAATTATTGGGCTTTATTTGTCTAGAACAATAGAGAAAGAAGGAAACCCAAGAATCAGAGGAGGAACTGGACTACAGGACTAATTGTCTACATGCACCACTGCCTCCTTCACCTTGAGAAGAAGTAGATAGTGCCTGGCTACCACTGCTGAATGTTCTGAGCAGGGACATAACAGATGAATCCTGATAAAAAGGGAGAAAAATGTGCACCAGGACTTCAAATTCTTGAAGAATCCAGAGTTACTGGACCTACTGAGGCTGGAGGGGTCCCTGAGTAGCTGGTTAAACCTTAAATTGATACTATGCCCTGAAAGCACCTTTAAACTAAGTTACAGTTTAGCCTAAAGAGTAAAGATTGTCACCCTTGAGTATTGTGTTAAAATACATACACACACATACAACCAAGGAGTCAACAGCTATTTTAAAGCACAGATGAGGCAGTTTGGGGGGCAGGCAGAGTAAGTAAATGGAAGCCAAACAACTAGAACAGAAATAACGAGACTGTTGACACAATGTGAAGAATGTAACCAATGTCACTGATCATTATGTCTAGAAACTTGGAAGTGGAGCGAGTTTGGATTTGTATCATTCATCAAGATTAAAATTAAAAAAAAAAAAAAAAAGAACACAGCCTTCTGAGAACAAGCCCTGATATCACCAATCTCCCCAAATAGGTTTGAGTCTGGCCCCTCTAAACCCTCAGAGAAACAGAGGTTTATTTTCAGCTATATGAACTAAGATTTTAAAAGGAAACTTTTGTCCTTTTATTAGAAAAAAAGTGAAGACTAAACCAGAATGCAATGATAATCTATGAACTGTAAGGCACACTAACCACCACTAAATGAACAATGATAGGTGACGTTACACAAAAATACACAATGCGCTTCTCAACGTGAAAACATTTTTACTCACCCTATCCCGACGACTCGCAATTTCTGCTTTAATTTGGTGTGGGTCGTACTTTGTATTTGTTGAATATCCAGAGAAAGCTAAACAGAAGGAAAATATATGATTTTATAAATGATCCTTTAAAATAAAGAAATGCATATAGACAGGAACTTCAGAGTCACCACATTAAATTATTAATTCTATGTCTCAGACTTACAAACTAGCACTGGTTCTTAAACAGTTAACATTTCACAACCTCTAATTGTCTTGATGGTTGATTTTTGTACAAGGCCTTTCTATATGATTCCACATAATAAAATATATGGCTATAGGTAAACCAAAATTCTGTTTATTTCTATTGTACAAATGCTGTTGTTGTGTGCCAGTGAGTTGATTCTGATGCCCAGAGACCCTACAGTACTAGTAGAACTGCCTCCAGGGTTTCCAAGGCTGCAATCTTTATGGAAGCAGACTCCCCTGTCTTTCTCCTGCAGAGCAGCTGGTAGGTTTGAATCACCTAGTGCTTACCTGTTATGCTACCAGGGCTCTTTACTGGATAACTACAAGGTTTAAAAACTACATATACACAAGGAAAAAAAATGTATGATTATGGTATGGAAAACTTATTTTAATATGTGACCAGTACATACAGTGTGAACCCATTTCTACTTTCTTTTAACATGCACTCACGTACCAGTCACTAGACAGGCAACAAAATGGGAGGCATGGTTATTCTCAGTGGTTGCAATCCAAATGATTTTATTTTTTTTATGCTCTTCATATCTAGTCTGACATGAACCATTTTTGAAATACAGAAAGAAAAAAATTAAAATGTTGTACAGTGAAAAAGACAACTTGATAGTAATGTGTCCATATCTGGCAGGCCTGAGAATGGCCTATTCCCCCCCCCCCCCCCGAAGTTGTTCTTTCCACACCAACTGAACTACAGTACTCAAACTTGATGCGAACAGCTTGTTTTTGATGGATGTCTAGCTAAAGCACACCACAGTATAGTGCCCAGGGCTGAAACCCTCTTGACAGAGACAGCACCGTTATTATAAATAGCTACAAGCTAGGGGTGAAACAAACACAGAGAGCTGTTTACACGCTAAGTACATTTAACACATCTCTGTCTGCTCAGAAGAGCTGCTGCAATCCTTTCCCAACGTCAAGAAAACAGTGGTTGTTCCTAATTTCTACCATTCCTTTAGTCTCTCTGCTTTGCTTTTTCTTGACGTTGCTCTCTCCTTTCCCTTCTGTTTCTGCAGCCGTTGGCTTTTGCAGAGTAGTGGCTTGGCCTACGTTCTCTGTCTTAGCTGGTGGAGGGCTTCTCCTTCATCTGGGAATCACATCACACTGGGGTGATCTGCCTCCTGGGTGCTTTCATCAATAAACCCCACCTGCTCAGAAGACCCATGTGCAGCACCCGCCTCCTTTCTTTTACTTCTTTGATCCACATACCAAAGGCTGACTTTCATTCCGATAACTTAGGTGCCAACAACTTGAAATACATTCAAAATCACTTCCTGACTTTATATTGGAAAGGAGTCTCATACGCAAAGCCATCAAGCCTCTTAAATAGGAGAATTATTTAACAGCCTCAATTTAGAACCAAATCCAAAGTTAATTTGAGCAGTTTGGATAGCTCCTATTTTAAAAACTGTTTTATGAACATTTAGTTACTTAAGCCCCCATTAGTCAGAATTTCAAACAACAAAATCTTCTAAAAAGAAATATCTGGAGGAGCTAAATGTTTGCCAACGTGATCTCAAACTTCCTTATATTTAGAATTGTGATCTCTCAAGGGCATGCTGTAAAAGGTTTTTAATATAGATTTTTTTTTTCTTAGACCAGAATGCTTATTTCCTAATCCTACAACTTCCATCTTGCCTGATGCTATGCTTTCATTTACTAAGATCAGTAGCAAAAGGAACACCTCATACAATTCCCCTAAAAGAAGGAAATCACTGAAACAAACTTTCACACTAAACTCCTGGTACTTAAGTTGCCCAGACAGAAGCATAAAGGTTTGTAACTAATACGCAAATAAGGCTAGGGCTTGCATGTTACTTGCATATGTGTAAACCTGTCAAGTTGTAGTTGAAAAAGAAAATGGCTCTTTTCCATTAAGAGGTGAAAGTAACCCCAATGCCAAATTTCAACAATGTCAATGGTAATGTTAACCATCAATGACAATTATCTGAAATTGTTACAACAAAACTCTTTTGCTGTCTGTGCAATTTCATAGGGAACATTAGCAAAGAGATTTGAAATACACACTGGAGGTGTAGTGGATACTGTGGTCATCTATAAAGCAAACTTTCCCGCATTTCTCCTTCCTAACTAAGATAACCTTGACGTTGCCCAGTGTGCACCTTTCCCTCAGGAGACCCAGAATGTACTGCAGTTCTGGAAGAGGAGTCTGATAAGCCAATGAACCCACCAATGGGAAAACCCACCCCACCTCGAGAGGCCTTTGTTATGTGAAAATGAATCCCTCATTGTCCAGGCCAGTAAGTCTTACTCTCTTCCATTACTTACAGATGAAACCATCCTAAATGAAAGCATATGTTTTACTTATGTTGACACCATTCATGTTACCTTTGCTAACAGTGCCCAAAACTATAAAGTTCCAGGACTTATGGAGAGGGGGTTTGTGGTAGTTAAGTTTGTGTGTCAATTTGGCTGGGCTTTGTTGAGTGACTTGGGCAGCTTGTGGTAGTTATTCCCCATGACGAGACTGGCAATCAACTCCATGGTGGGATCTACCCCAAGCAGCTGAGTAGCTGCTTTAGGGATGTGGTCTGTTTCCCGTATAGAAGCAGCAGCTTTGGGAATGGTCTCCAGCTTACACATGCTTGAACCCTGCATGTAGCCGAGTCGTTGTTCAGCAGCCTGCCATGCTCTGCCGATCTTGGGACTTTTAATGGACTTCAGTGAATGGCCTGCCATGTGGTTTGGTAATATCGGGACTGTGTGCCTCGGAAGGAATTTGGGGCAATCTACTTCCGTAGTGATACTGCCTCAGAAACCCAAGGAGGGGTCGCTATGAGTTGGGTCCGACTCGACGGCACGTAACAACAACAGTAACAACAAGCCTTGTTACTTATCGACCTTGGGTTTGTCAGCTTCAGCAGCCAGCAGCTCAGTGAAGAAAAGCCTCCAGTTTCAATGTGCCAAGAGCAGGAGGCAGAGCTGAAGCCCAAGGTTGAGGGGCTTTCTCCCAGCCCCTAGAGCCTGGCACTTTGAACTTGGACTTAAAGCTTCCAAATTGTAAGAATAAAGTCCTGTTTGTTAAAGCTATCCCATTTGTGGTATTTCTGTTAGAGCAGCACAAGCTAATCAGAACAGGGTTCAAGCACCTAAGACAGTGACTACATTTGGTCTTCAATTGCTAAGGATATGTGTGAATGATGGCATAACTTTTAATATTATAATTCCATTTATAAATACAAATTTTGATTCTTTCTATGTGCCTGTAAGCCTAACAGAACGCTTTGTGGCATCTAAGGAATAGCTCAGGCTCTGGACCCCATTTTCAACAGCATACACTACACAACATTTATAAAAAGAAACTGCTTCCTTTGTAAAGACATGTCTCCAATCTCTAGGTTTAAGACAGAGGGCAGACTTTCACCTCTGAAACTTTGTTCTCTCTTTAAGAGTTCAGTGAACAGAACTACCAAATAGCCTAGGGAATCTGCTCAAGCATGTCATGTTGTTTGGATGAGGTAACAGTAAAGTTACAGCTTAGCTGGACAATGTAAAATATTATGCTTCGCTATTATAGGGTGTCTTTCACACTTATTTCATCTAGTCTCATAAAACAGGAAAAATCCTGGTGAAAGAGGAGCAATAATTCTATTTTCCTGCTTTATGGATTAAAAGACTGGGTTTTGTGATGACTTGAAGTCACTATACCATCAGTCACAGAGGGACTCCTGTCAGAACTCAGGCTCCTGGGTGTCAACTCCCAGAGATCTTTTCATTAGACTAAACTTTCCAATATAAGGAGGAATGTCCCTCCAGCTCCCCAATGCCCATGATGGACTAGGTGAACTTGACCTATTTATTTAGCACTCAAAATGCTGCAAACCCCAGCACTTATGTTGGGTTTCTATTTTACCAGTCATTGAAAGGAGGAAACACATGCATATGTCTCCCTCTCTCCCACTCTCTAACACACATGCCTCTTCTTTGCTATGGGCCCTGAGGGCAACCCTGGAGATGACCTGCTTGAAAAGGCCAGCAGTACTTCTCCAAGGATGACCTCTCTGGCAGTCTGCCTCTCAGGACCAGGTGTGCGCCTCAGGGACCAGCGATGTAGGGGATTGCTCAAGACACAGAGAGAACTCTGGGAGAAAGTACAGCAAGCTCCGACAGGTTCCAAGCTAACAGGTACTAATTATCAGAGCAGGGACAAAGGTACACATACAAGGAATGAAGGCCAACAAAGGAGGGAATGATACTTCTTTTTTAAGGTGCCACAAGCAAAGGCTCAAAAGAACCAAATAAGCCCACTCGGGGTAATCTATAGAAGCAATGCAAGATGGCATCAAACTCTGAGCAGGAACTCTCTTTCCAGGACAGACTAGGGTATTATCTCATGGTAAGCACATGTGCAAGAGTCAAGGTTGCCAGTTATTACGCAGGAAAAATGCAGCATGATCTATTTTTCTCCTACCTGCTCCAACATGCTGGGTCAAGGGAAACGAAAGCTGACTATCCAAGCTGTGGTCCTTATCCTAACCTAGATAGCAGATGAGAAACCCTTTAACAAAGAACCAGTGGAAGAGTCTTTGTGGGATGGGCTTATAGCCTCAGAAAGAACGTTGGCAAGACTGATGACTGATAAAGCAGAACTTCCCCAACACCTAAGACAAGAATTCAGGGTGGGTCAGTGCTTTGTCACCAGAGATAAGGCAGACTCTTTCCCAGCCACCCAAGGAGACTTTTGGTATAGACTTGTGGTATAGACTCTAGGTAATTCCTAGGAACGAGGGTAACAAACAAAGTCATATTCATGCTGCTAGAAAGGGCAGTAACAGTCAACTTAGACCACTGGATCTCAACCAGAGGAAGCACCTGGGAGCTTTCAAAA